TTTACCGCCTCTCAAAGGCTCTCTTCCCACCTGAGCCCATGGTGAGCCAGCACAGCTAGTCCTGACTGCGCTGGGGAGAGAGCTGCTGACGACTTCTCAGCACTGGGACAGCACTGGGACTCTTGTATGCTTTTCTAAGCCAGGCCAGGTTGTCGGCGGAAGCAGCTGTTTCAGGGACTTACCTGTTACAGCAGGACATAACTGTGCCGGTCTGGACTGATGTATCCATTCCTCTCACAGGTCCTCCGGGAGATGTGCAAGCAGGGCTACAGAGACGGACTTCGATTCCTTAGGAGGAATGGTGTGTGGGCAGCCCTGGGTTGGGAGAAGCTGGCTCTGCAATGCCCCCTGCTGACCATAAACTCTGATGGCATCTCTGTCACCCCATCCCAACCCAGGCCTATTGAACCAGCCCAACCCCTTGCTGGCGCTGCCCCCGGTTGTCCCCCAGGAAAAGGATGCAGAGGAAGCTGCTGTGTCTGAGGAGAGGACTGGGGAGGAGGACAAATTGCAGCACCATGGACAGGATCGAATTCTAGAGCACCTGCCTGCCAGACTCAATGAGGGTGTGCCATGGGGAGGGAGGTCGGGGGAAGGAGCAGGGTCCTTTTGGAGAAGCTTGGCCAGGAGGTCTGGGAGGCTTCCACTGCCCTAATTGGCTACCGCCTTCCTACCTGCAGCCCTTCTGGAGGCCTGTGTGGAGCCTAAGGACCTGATGACCACCCTCTCCAACATGCTGCCAGTGCGCCTGGCCACTGCCATGATGGTGCCCTATACTCTGCCACTGGAGAGTGCAGTGTCCTTCACCATCCGGTGAGGGTGGGAAGGGGAGTCTGGGGAGAACACGTCAACATATCATACATCGGAGACGGAAGTCTAGATCACCCCTGAGCCATAAGCTGCTTGGGAGATGTGGGGAGGGTAGATGTCAGTATCTAGCGGGTGACCATCAGAGCCTAAACTGCGGTTTCTGAGGTCATACTTGGTGCTCCCTTGCTAGCTTGTTGGAGTGGCTGCCCGATGTTCCTGAGGATATCCGGTGGATGAAAGAGCAGACAGGCAGCATCTGCCAGTACTTGGTGATGAGGGCCAAGAGGAAACTGGGTGACCACCTACCTTCCAGGTGAGCTGCCACGGCTGCCTATCCACCCGGAGCCTGGGGCCTGGGCCCTCGGACCCTCACTAAAGTCTTCTTTTCCTCCATGCCTCCCCCCGTTGCAGGCTGTCTGAGCAGGTGGAGCTGCGTCGAGCCCAGTCTCTGCCCTCTGTGCCACTGTCTTGCTCCACCTACAGCGAGGCATTGCCCAACTGGGTACGAAACAACCTCTCACTGGGGGACGCGCTGGCCAAGTGGGAGGAATGCCAGCGTCAGCTGCTGCTGGGTCTCTTCTGCACCAATGTGGCCTTCCCTCCGGATGCCTTGCGAATGCGCACACCGGCCAGCCCTGCCTCCACAGACCCAGCCACCCCACAGCATCCACCTGGCCTCCCACCTTGCTGAGAACCATCATTCCCAGTTTCCTCTGCTACCAGCCAAGCTCCGAGTCGCCCTGCCCCACTTTGAGGAGCTCTGGAGTAGACCAAGCCCCTGTCCCTTGGCTCTCTCCCTTACATGCTGTGGAATGAGGACATAGGACCCTGCACAGCTGCAAAAGGGGGTTGATGTAAAACATTTTACCAGCCACTCACCGTGCTGCTCCTGGTGGGGAGGGCTGAGGAGCATCCTCTCTGGGAGCCCACAGAGCCCTTCCCTCTCACCTGTGCCTTCCTCTCCCCTGCCCACCACCTTCTCAGTGCAGGGTCAGTCTTGAGAACTCCACAGCTGCTGCTGCTGCTCCCCGTTCTTCAAGTTTCCTTGCAGAGTGTGTCAAGAATTATTTATTTTTGCCAAAGTAGATATAATAAAAACCACAGCTCAGCTTCCGCCGTCCTCCCCTCACCTGTTACTCCAGCCTCTGACCGAGATCGGCAGACAGAGCCATCTCTCCGATGACCAGTGTCTCAATAGCTAACTGCTGTGCCTCGCAGAGTTGCTTTGAGACCCGGCAGCTGGCGACCCTCTCCTAGGGTCAGCCCTCTGGCAAGAACTCATGGATGCTGCTCTGCTTGCCCAGAGGCCTCCTGACTGTCGTCAAGTGCCAGCTGATATGTTTAGGACTGAGAACCTCAGTATAATAAAAACTAAAATGTTGGGTTGGAGTAACTCAGTGGTCGAGCCCTTGTCCAGCAGGCACCAGGCCGATTCCATCTCAAGCACTAGGGGGAAGATGTTTACAAAAGGTGTCACCCGCACATCCGCTCCACGCGGTGACACAGTGAGGATGTGGATCAGGGCTGACTTCAGGGCTGGGTCCCTGTGAAGGGTGAAGCTTGTGGACCTGAAGTCTGGGGACCAGGGAAGCTCAGTCCCTGGCCCAGACTGGGCGCCTTGCTCAGAACTTGGTGCTTGGCTCTTCTTTCTCGGTTGTCACACTGCTCATTGCCAGGTGCGTGTGTGCATGTGCCTTTTTTGTCCTGTGACCATACCTGTTTCCTCCCAGAACCTTGGGAGTGGTCTGGAGTACCGAGGCAAGGTAGTGAGGTCCGAACTCAAGGGAGCAGCTCACCTTGGTTTCCTGAAAGTATCCCCTGCTGGGATGTGTGTGGTGGTGTGCAGTCTCCGAGGAAGGAGAACTGGGAGGGGTGAGTTTAGCTGTCAATCTGCGGGATTTGGCTTAGTCCTCCCTGCTCAGCACCCGTTTGGCCCCTCCCAAAAGGTGCACAGAGACTGCGGTTGCAGCCCCTAGCCAACAATAACGGTTGGTCTGGTTATGGGACCTGGGACAGCAGGACTGGGCGAGCCGGCCAGGCAGGTCCCTGGCCTAGGTGCCAGGGGCCGCCCCTCTTGTCTCCAGGTCCTGTCCTATAGGGCCAGGCTGTTGTGGTTCTACTTGAGAAGCACAGGGCCCCCCCAGCGCCTCTGCAGCTTGTGACACCCAGGCCAGCTTTTTCAGGTCAGTTTAGGGGCTTGATGGGGGAGCATACCCTTGGAAGTGGATAGATTTCCTCCGAAGTAGAACTTTGGCACCATCTCCTAGAGTTCTCCTAGGCCTAGGAGGACCCTGATCAGGACTGTGCCCTAAAAGGAGCGCTGGGGGCAGACTGCTTGAGGTGGCCTCACTGCGGCCTCACACTTACTTACTCACACGGGAGTGCCACTAACGCTCATGCCTTCCGCTAGCATTCAAACTTAGAAGACTCCAAGCTGAAAAAGTATAAAGACGAAAAGTCTAGTCTCCCCAGTCCTAGATACGGCCACTGAAAGTATTTGGTCTATTTCCTGCTCGGCATTTTCCTACACACACTTCTTGGCACCCTAAGTCTGGATATTCCGGGCGGAGTGGGGGCTGGTATCTGCACCTCCGCGGCCTTGATCCTGTCCTGGAAGGGTCTTGGGGTGGGGGTGAGGGACACGACGTCAACATTGCTGCCCCCTGTGGCTCTCCCGGGAGAGTTAGCCACCCTGCATCGGGCCATCAAGATAGGAGAGGCGGGACAAAGCAACAGCAGCGCTCCGGTGGATTCACCCGGACGTACTATCACGGGGTCTCCCCGCCTGTAAGGCCGTAAGGTCGCTGTGGGTCCGGGTCCCTCGCAGGCTTTCGGGGTCCGGGCAGGGGCGGGGCGCGCCGCGCGTTGCGTTTCCGGGAGGAGCGGCCCGTCTGCGGCAGGTGCGGCGGTGCGGCTCGCAGGTAGGTATTGGTTCGCAGGTCCCGCGGCTGGCGGCTGGGGTCCCAGCACCGCAACTGCCGGGCTTCCCTAACCCCAATCCTGGGATCCCGGCCCCGGTGGTCGCACCTTCGGGCTGTTGTGTGGAGTGGCGACCGCACGCGTCTCTCTGGGACGGCTGTGTTCCCGAGGTACACCACAGCTAGCCTAGACGTATGTGGATGAGGTTTGCCTGTGGGCCCACCCGCTGCCTTTCCTCTGGACTCCCCGGAGCATGGCTGCAGCTCAGCTTCCGGCTGGGATGGACCTCCGGTCCTGTGGAGCCCTGGAGCCGTTGCTGACCGTGTCTGGTTGAAGAGAGAGTAGCCGTCAAAGGGCAATGACTCCAGGTTGTCCTTTCCTGCTGCTTCCTCGTGTTTGCTAATTGGATTATCATCCTTCTCCTCCTGGAATATGGGTAGGGGGACTGAGAAGTGAGATAGCCGGTCTGAGTTGGTGTCACTGGGCTGTAGCTTTGGAAAACCTGAGGTTAGGGCACTGTGGGACACACAGGTGGTCCTGCTTAGAGGTGGGATGTTCATTCCAGGAGGTGAGAGGGAGGCCCCAGGGGAAGAGAAAAGGATCTGAGGCTGTCTTAAACCAAGATGTGGGGGTGTTTCTTACAAAAGCTGTCCAGTGCCTGGGGCTGGGACCTTGCACCTGCACCCTTAAGGCCTCATTGGCAGGTGGGAGTGGCTGATGGAGTTTACTCTCTGCTTGCCAGCTGTCAGAAGGCCAGGGTATCACAGGCTCCGGCCTGAGGCTAAGGACTTGGTCAGGAGTGATTCAGTCTTCTTCCTTAGGTAGCCCCAGCTTGGACTCTCCCAAGGCCAGGATATGGCTGATCTTCACCGTCTGGCCCTCTGTCATTGCAAAATCTCTCTCCTGGCTGCCAAGAGCTGTCCACCTGTTTCTACAACTCCACCCTCTCACTTTTCTTCTCTTCCTCCTTTTTTGATTCTTAGAGACAAGGCTTCTTTGTGTAACAGTCCTGGCTGTCCTGAAATTCACTTGGTAGATCAGGCTGGCCTCGAGCTCACAGAGATCTGTCTTCCTCTGCCTCCTGAGTGCTGGGGCTACAGGCTTATGCCATGATGCCTGGTTTCTCGTCCCCCCCCCTCTCTTTCTTCTTTCTTTCTTTCTTTCTTTTTTTTTTTTTTTTTTTTTTTTTTTTTTTTTTTTTTTTTTTTGAGACAGGATCACACTACATAGCTTTGGCCGTCTTGGAACTGCTGTATAGAGCAACCTGGCCGTGAACTCTATGTAACTTTGCCTCCAGAGTGCTGGGATTAAGAGTGTGTGCTGGCCGGACAATGGTGGCGCACGCCTTTAATCCCAGCACTCGGGAGGCAGAGGCAGGCGGATCTCTATGAGTTCGAGACCAGCCTGGTCTACAGAGCTAGTTCCAGGATAGGCTCCAAAGCCACAGAGAAACCCTGTCTCGAAAAAAAAAAAGTGTGTGCTGCCCGGCGGTGGTGGCACACAGTTTTAATCCCGGCACTTGGGAGGCAGAGGCGGGTGGATCTCTCTGAGTTCAAGTTCAGCCTGGTCTACAGAGTGAGTTCCTGGACAGGCCCTAAAGCTACACAGAGACACCCTGTCTCAGAAAATAAAATAAAAGTGTATGCCACCCCTCAGGACAGCCAGGACCATGACACAGACAAACCCTGTCTCCTAAACCAAAAACAAACAAAGCATATGCCACCATAGCAGACTCACCCTCACTTTCTCAAACCAGCTCTGTCCTGGGAGCCTTTCCCCCAAATCTCGACTTCCTGAGATGGCTGGTCCTGGGCAGCAACTCTGGTACCAAGTCTGTCTGCTTCAGCCCATCCAGTGACATAGAGCACCCCGTCACAATGCTTTGCCTTCTGTTCATTTTCCTACCTGGAGCAGGCAGGTCCCAAGCCCTCGCTCTGTCTGTACCCTCTGCCACACCATCATCCCCCCTCCCATGTCTTCTAACCTTCCCTTGGCTTCACAGCACCCACTGGAGCCAAGATTTGCTCCTATGGCCAGTCCTGGGCAGCCTGAGCCTGGGGAGGGCCAGCAGGAAGAGGAGACAGAGGGAGTCTCAGCAGGGCATCGTGCAGAAGTGCTGCGGCAGGCCCAGGAGCTCTTTCTGCTGTGTGACAAGGATGCTAAGGGCTTCATCACTAGGCGGGACTTACAGGTGAGCTACAGCTCCCAGAGGCTGCCAGGCCCAAGGCTGACCTTGGCTGCTCACCTTGGTCTTTCTTGCCTGGCTAGGGCCTACAGAGTGATCTGCCCCTTACACCTGAGCAGTTGGAGGCTGTGTTTGAAAGTCTGGACCAGGCCCACACTGGCTTCCTCACAGCCCGGGAGTTCTGCCTAGGCCTGGGTGAGCAGGTCCCAGCCACCTGGAGGCTGTACTGAGGCCCCTGTGAGACTCTACCCAGCCTGTGTCTTTCACAACTCCTCAAGCATTCCTGTCTACAGTCACCTTGTGAGCTGCACCAACCCCAGCTAATCTGCCGGGCATATATGGTCTGCCCTCCCCCAATCTCTTCTCTGCCAACCCAGGTGGGGCGGGGGAGCTGGCTGTCATTTCCCATTCCCAGGCCAATAGAACCAGAACAAGGAAGAAAAACAGGAAACTGGGCCTTGAGAGAGGGCAGGATGTGTTGTGTATGACGGGGGAATTTGGGAGGTCCTGGGTGTTAATCTACAGTCCTGGTCATCTTTCCCCCCATGTCTGCAGGGAAGTTTGTGGGGGTGGAGTGGGCCCAAAGTGGGTCCTCCTTGAGGACGCCCGAGGAAACCTTTGAGTCAAGCACAGGGGGCTCTCTGGAAGAGGACGACGATGTTGAGACATTCTGCACTTCTTTAGAGAAGCTGGGAGTGGCCCGGGTTCTGGGCGAGTGAGTTGACGATGGGCCCACTCCCTTTTCTCGCTTGTTCCTTCTCAGCACGTTCTGTCCACCTTGCCTGCCTGCCTGTTGCCACGGAACCCCTAGGCCGGGCTAGTCTATCCTTTGTTAGTTGTGGCTGTCTGGGAGAGTGGCCTGGCGTGATTTCCCTCAGGATTTGCATTTCAGGAGGCTATAGCCCTGCAGGGCAGGGCGCCACCAGACACTTAGTAACCCACTGGCATAGCTCTCGGTACACAAGCCACCTTGCAGACTAGGCAGGCATGAGGGCACACTCCATAGGGATGAGCTGTGCGCGGCCGAAGTGCTGCCAGTTCTGGGCCGCTGGGTTCTCCAGGGGGTTCACCGTCCGCAAAGGGGACACTCTCCCCCTGCACCTGCCAGCTCCAGTCTCCGTTCACGTCCTCTAGGCAATGGGCGGTGAGAACTCTCTGGGTCGGGCTGCAGCGCGAGCGACCCGAGCTCCTGGGCTCCCTGGAGGAAGTTCTGATGCGCGCGTCGGCCTGCCTGGAGGCGGCAGCCCGGGAGCGCGACGGTTTGGAGCAGGCACTGCGGCGGTGAGGGCTGGCCTGGCGAGGTTTGGGGGGGGGGGTGTCTCACAAGGAGACAGAGACGAAGCTGGCAAATGATCTGAGCATGCCTGTGATATCCCGGTTCCTCGAAGGCGGGAGAGTGAGCACGAGAGAGAGGTGCGCGGACTCTACGAAGAGCTGGAGCAGCAGCTGGGGGAGCAGCGACACCGCGGCCAGAGCCAGGTGGGCCCGCGTATGCTACGCCCAGCCTCGCTGGCTACTCTGGCTCCGCCTTCCCCGAACTGGTCCCTCCTCGGAGGACTCACCTCCCGGGAGTCCAAGCTGTCCCAAGTCCCAGGAACTCTGCCTCTGCAAGTGCCCCCTCCCGCGCTCTCCACCCCTTCGCTCCCCACCCTTGCCTCTCTGCCTGCCTCCTCTGAGCCGGGAGCAGAGGCTCTAGTGCGGCTGTACATCCCAGAAACTAGCCCGGGAGGAACAGAGGGGCCACCTGGAATTGGAGCTGCAGACCCGCGAACAGGAGCTGGAGCGCGCAGGCCTGCGGCAGCGGGAGGTACGCCCTAGTCAGTTCACGCCTGCAACCTCGCACAGACTCAACTTCTTTGGGGGGTCCTTGTGCTTCGGGGTCCTCGGCTAAGGAGCTTCGGGGGCAAAGGGTCAGTTTGGCCTTGTGGGTTGGGGGAGCGTGGATCTCCAGCAGCCTTCCACCATTCCCCAGCTGGAACAGCAGCTTCAGGCTCGGACTGCGGAGCAGCTAGAGGCACAGGCCCAGCACACCCAGCTGCGTAGGGCCTATGAGGCCGTGCAGGCACAGCTGGATCAGGCGCAAGTGCAGCTCAGCCGACTGGAGGGCGAAGCGCAGGATCGTCAGGAGCAAACCCAAAGGTGCCATGAGGTGCCTGTGGTGAGGGTAGAGGGTCCCTTCCCCCACCTCGCATCTGGATCACCACCTTCTACCCACAGAGATGTGGTTGCTGTCTCCAGGAACATGCAGAAGGAGAAACTCAGCCTCCTAAGGCAGCTGGAGCTGCTGAGGTGGGTCAGGCCTACCTAGGCTGTGTGGAGAAGTGGCTTCAAGTTCTCAGATATTCTTGCCTCCTACCCATCTTGCCGGAAGTCTTTATGTCTGCCCTATAGCCTCTGGACTCAGGGGGACCAAACCCACGTTCCCCACCCGCTGCCTTCTCTAGGTCTTAACCCCTTCAGTCTCAAACTCTTCTTCTCTAGGGAGCTGAACCTGCGGCTTCGGGATGAGAGAGATGCCTGTGAGACTAAGCTGCTGGGCAGCAGTCACAGGAAGGCTCTAGCTATTGCCCACAAGCCTGGGCCCACCTACTGCTGCTGCTGCTGTGGCTGGGCTCGGCCCCCCAGAAGAGGTTCTGGCCATCTTCCCAGTGCGTGATGACCAGCCCCAAATGACTCACTGGAACTTTCTTATGACCAGTCGGGTTATGTGTGGTGGTTGCCTGCTAAGTATGTGGCCAGAAGGCATCACCTGCCTGAAGGAGCTAACCTCTGAGTGGTCAAACCTTTCCGTCTCCATCCTGTCTTCATCTCTGTTTAGAGGACCAATAAAGGCCACTGACCACTGTACGCTTCTTGCCTTTTGTGTGTCTGGAAAGCACAGCGCATTTGTCGTTCATGCTTGGTGTCCATTGCACAAGGGGGACATGGAGAGATTCACAGGTTCATACTAACCTGCCATTCCCGTGGCTGTGGGTTCCTGTGTGCTTGTGCATGTTCTGTGAGTCTGGTCATTTGCTAAGCCCTTCCTTACCATCCTTCTCCGCTGAGGCTCCAAGGACTCAGGTTTCAACAAGCATCCACTCCCATGCCAGTCCTTATGTGGAAAGGGAGTCTTGCCCCTCGCTTCCATGGTCAGCTACTCTGGTCCAGGCCCTTACTCCCTCATCCTCTGGCACCGTTCCTAGACAGGCCATATGCCCTCCTGACTTGGTACTTCTTGCAAGGCCCTCACGTGTCCGTGGGTTTCCCGGCACTCATCACCACACTGTAGCAGGAGCTTCCCCTCTGGCATTTCCTCAGCCACTGGAACCTGCAGCCTCAGAGTGGTTCCCTGGCTTTGACTGGAGGAGAATTTGGTCTCGGTCTCAGTTCTGGGCAATGGTGGTCTAGGTGCCACCTTCTCCACTTCTCCACTCCCCATCCGGGTTCTGCCTCCCGCCTAGCTCGTCTGTCTCTGAATGAGTAGGGGGTCTTGGTGACCACCGGCGCCCTCAAGTCAACTTTCCGGCCGCACAGACGGGGCAGGTTCCAGGTCTCGCTGTGCTGTGAGGTCTCCTGCGCTCCGTTGCACCAAACCGGTTGGGACTTGCCCAATCCAGGCCGGCCGTAGGCGGGGCTGCGCCCGGGGCGGGGAGGCTCGCGGGGCGTGTCCTCGCAGGCCCCGGGCTGAGCATTCTGAGCACTCCTAGCGAGCACTCCTACAGCCGCGGTCGGGGCTGATACTCCAAAAAGTGTGGTTGGTGAGTGCTCCAGGGAGCCAGGTCGTAGGGTGTGGGGATCAGCGTCCCGAGTGCCTCCAGCACCGATGTCTCTAGTCCTCACCGCTGGCCTCGGGGACGCCCAGGAGGCAGCGCCGGTAGGAAGCGCTGCAGGCTCCTTTCCGGAAGATCGACGCCGGGGCGGGAGAGTAGAAGCGGAGGGGGAAGGGAGAGGGCCTCTAGGCTTCTTGGACAGGCCTGGCGGTCCCTTTCATGAAGAAACCCAGAGAGTCAAAAACTGAGCACCCGATTCATTGTCCCTGGACACCGATTCCCTCCCCCTGAGACTGCAGATCCGCCCATTGGCATGGGGGTGGGAGTGGGGAGACGGGGAGGGGCTGTAGTGACTTCATTTCGGTGACGCGGGGATTCCTCGCCTAGCCGCCTTCAGTCCCTCGGTGAGGCGGGTGCCGAGTGCCATGGAGGGCACAGAAGTCCAGGGGCTGAGTGTAGGGCGGTTGTGTCCAGGCCCAAGAGCTATTTCTGGCTGATCGCGTCTCCCACGCCGGCCCTTTCTCAGGAAATTAACATTCAGTCTGCTGACTGTGCCTTAGGTTGCTGGGTGTGTTCAGAAGCAGCACCCCAGAGATTCTGAGCTTTTAGAGACTGCCCCCGGGGCATGTATTGTGGTCGGGCCTCTGTTTGTGCCATGCCCTTCCTTCAGTGAGATAGCGTGTATTTGGGTCCCATTTCCAAATGAAGGTCTGTAATTTCTCCCATCCCCACTGGTGGACAGTTGATCCCCCGCCCCCTCCAGTCTGCAGTCGATGCTGTTTGGTGGGGGAGGGACAGTGGTGGATGGGTCTGGAGGGTGGAGCACCTGGAGAAGGCATTTGGTTCCTCCATGATCAGACTGGCCAGCAATATCCTCTGCCCCACCCTGGTCCAGAAGAAAATAGTAGGCCTGACTGTTATGCCTGCTTCCAGATCCGGTGGCGCTGGAACTCCTTCTGACCACTGCTTCAGCCGCCAGAAGAGGAGCGGCAGGATCCCACCTGCCACGTGAAGGGCAGACCACAGACTTTTGACCTGTACCAGTTGTTCTTTCTGACTTACACAGGTGAGTGCTGAGTGCCTTGGGCAGGTGGCAGGGGGAAAGGCCTGCATAGTGGCATAGTGCCTGTCTAGAAACCTGGCCTGGGGTGTTTGTTCAGCTGAGGTCTGTCTGTACTGCATATGGTCCCCAGGGCAGACACCGTTATGTCTAGGGCAGGATGTGCCTAGGGGACCTTTTGGGAAATGGCACATCCACTTCTATGGAACTGAGGGCCCCCTCCTACTGTCTGGAGGGGAGCTGACTGTGCAGGCTCCACCTACCGGCACCTCTATTGTCCCTACCCTGGCTGAGAGTAGAGAGGTTGTTCCTTGAGCCCTCACGGTCTACCTGAGGTCGGTCTGCACTCTGCTTCTCTTCATCTGGGGTATTAGTGCTAAGCAACCAGCCTGATGTGGGGCTCCGGGAATGCTGTGGGGGTGGCAGTCTACAGGAATGCATCCTGTCCCGTCGTGTGTCCTGTAACCCCCCCCCCCGTCTTCCCCCCCCCCCCATTGCCAGCAGGACCGAGTCACCAGATTTTTGAGGGTCTTCCATGACAATTCATTATGGGTGTCTGGCTGTGAGGAGGAGTGTTAGACCTGACCAGTTGTCCAGGAAGTGACTCATACGTTTCCTGGGAAGGCTCCTCAAGGCAGATTGCCGGCTGAGCTCCCAACTCTGGAAGTATCTGGGGGATGGCTGCATCCCCTCCTGTCTCATTGGTTTGGAGTTTTCTCTTCCTAATTGGAGGCCTGGTGCTTCCGGCCATCTGACCTCCACATTTCTGCAGGCCCAGCATGGGTGAATTCAACGAGAAGAAGGCGACATGCGGCACGGTCTGCCTCAAGTATCTGCTGTTCACCTACAACTGCTGCTTCTGGGTGAGATGCACTGTATTCTCCCTGCATCCCTGTTCTTCCTCCTCCTGGAGTCTTGGCCTAGGGGCTTGGTCCCAGCTGCCAGACCCAGGCCAAATGTGACCCATACACATTTCCTACAGCTGGCCGGCCTGGCTGTCATGGCAGTGGGCGTTTGGACACTGGCCCTCAAGAGCGACTACATTAGTCTGCTGGCTTCAAACACCTACCTAGCCACAGCCTACATCTTAGTGGTGGCCGGTGTTGTTGTCATGGTGACTGGAGTCCTGGGCTGCTGTGCCACTTTCAAGGAGCGACGGAACCTGTTACGCTTGGTCAGCAGGGCCTGGTGGCACATGGTGGGAGTGGTGGGACTGGGGATGTCTGGCGTGGGTTTCGCAGGGGCCCATGGTACTGGTTCTAGGACTTGGTTCTGGTTAAGTATGTTACTGCAGGCTGTCCCCGTTGAACTCACTGGGGCATCCCCTAGCTGGACCAGCTGAGGGCATACACCAGGTCCAGAGAAGTATCAGAATCCAGGTGGCCCCAGCCTGGAGCTAATTGGATTCCTCCTGCTTGGTCTCTTGGGTTGGGACTTGCTTTGTGGTGCTCTGGCACTATGGAACCCCAATTTACTGGGTCCCTGCTTCCTAGTACTTCATCCTGCTCCTCATCATCTTCCTGCTGGAGATCATTGCTGGCATCCTGGCCTATGTCTATTATCAGCAGGTAAGGGCCCGCACTGGCCATAGGGTATATCCAAAACAGGTGTGCACATGGGCAGGCGGGTCCCAAGGCTGACTTAGCACTTATGGGGAGGCAGGTGGGCATAGGATGTAGAGGATCACTCATTCCAGGCTGGCCTTGCGCTTGCCCGCCTGGTGACTCCTCTAGTTCTGTCAGTCCAGCTGGGGGCAGGGGTAGGTCCTGACTTCAGCTTTGATCTTACCCACAGTTGAACACAGAGCTCAAGGAGAATCTGAAGGACACCATGATCAAGAAATACCAACAGCCAGGCCACGAGGGTGTGACCAATGCTGTAGACAAGCTGCAGCAGGAGGTGGGTCTCCCCCATAACTCTCCAGTTTCCTAGCATGGTGCCATGTTCTGGCAGGATGCAGGGCTCAGCCACATGTCCCTTGCAGTTCCACTGTTGTGGTAGCAACAATTCTGAAGACTGGCAAAACAGTGAGTGGAGCCACTCTGGGAAGGCGGAAGGCCGTGCAGTTCCTGATAGCTGCTGTAAGACTATGGTACTCAAATGTGGTATGCGGGACCACGCCTCCAACATCTATAAAGTAGAGGTAGGTGGGCGCTCAGCAAGAGGCTAGACTGACGTGGGTGGCTGGTCTGGCTACATCTTAGGGTAGCCTGGCCCAAAGGGCTGTATGTGGGAGCCAGCAAGGTCCACTATTGCTCTCTCCCCCGCTAGGGTGGCTGTATCAGTAAGCTGGAGACCTTTATCCAGGAGCATCTGCGCGTCATCGGGGCTGTGGGCATCGGCATTGCCTGTGTGCAGGTGAGGAAACACAGGGGTGAAGAGGTGGGAACGCTGGGGGGGCTGGTGGTCCGCAGCCCTGTTCACACCAGCCTGGCCCTCTGCAGGTCTTCGGCATGCTCTTCACCTGCTGCTTGTACAGAAGCCTCAAGCTGGAGCACTACTGACCACGGTGCCAGGCAGGCTGCCAGCCTCGCACTATGAAGCTGGAACACTACTGACCACGGTGCCAGGCAGGCTGCCAGCCTCGCACTATGTCCTACCCCACTACGAAGTACTACTGAGTTAGACTGCTGACCGCCAGAGAGGTAGCTGTCCTCATGCCATCACTGTGGCCCCTGGTGACCCCACCTCAGGGGTGGCTTCAAGTGCCTTTCACTGCATATCAAAGTCCCAAGGCTTGAGGCCGTGTACTTGCCCCAGTGTAAGAGGGGCAGGTATGCCAGTGTTGGGCTAGGCCTCGCTGGTAGAATAGGTTTTAGATTATTTGACAAAAGTGCCTCTTGCCCACAGGCTACTTTCCTGTGGGTAGCTGAGATTTACAGTAAATTTGGGGAGAACTTGGGTATACCACCTGCATGGTGGGTAGAAGCGGATGGGAAGGGGCCTTTCTGGGTGAGCTAGGTACCTTTCATCTGCTTACCCTAAACCAATGGGGCAAGTTGAAGGGAACTCCATCCAACCCCACTGTATATGCTCTGTCCTCTCCACCCAGGCCTCTCTTGCTCCTAACAGCTTGGCCCTGGCTTTTCCCCACTTCTGAGAACATCATGCAAATGCCCCATGTTCCTGAACACTGTCTCCTTTTGGAACATCTCTGCACGGGGCATGGTTGTTTTTCATCCACTGCTGTATCCCACATGCCCACACATGCTCCTGCTATGTAACAGGTGCTCAATAAAATGTATAACAGTCGAGTCAGCTTGCTGACGGGACGAGACAAGGATGGGGAAGCCCAGTGGCAGAGCGGTTTGCTAGCTGGAGACACCAGCTCACTGTGGCCTGGATTGAGCCAGGTAAAGGACTGCCCATACGTAACAGCATGGGAATGTACTCTAAGAGCCGATTCCTGTGCTGTTCTGTGCCAGCCAGAGAAGCAGGGTCCTAGCGGACCTCTGGAGTCCAACCCAAGGCAAAACTTTTCTCCTCTTTAAAAATTAGTGTGTATGTGCGTGTATGCCCCACCCACCTAATCCCAGCGCTCAAGAGAGTTGCTGTGAGTTTCAGACCAGCCAAGGCTACATAGTGAGACCCTACCTCAAACAAACAAAACCCAAAACAACAAAATTTCAGAGGGATCAATGTGCTAAAAAGAACCCTGGGACATTTAATGCAACTACCTAGGTGCCAGAGCCTTGGACAGCCTCTGGGAAGTTTCTTAGGGCTGGGTATTTTTCCACTTCTGTGGGGATTGGGTTAAAGGGCAAGACACGCCTAGCTGCTGGGTCTGGGAAGATTTTGGGAACAAGATCCTCAGACATGAGTAGCAGATGGGCTCACAGCTAATGTTCTTTTAGATCCAGGAAACTTGGTTTTTTGGATTCTAGAAGACAGGACATAAGTCTGTGGCCTTGGGAGTACTTAGAAGTTGGAAATGGCTCAAATTAACAGTACTGGCTACCCTTCTAGAATATCCGGGTTTGGTAGTGCGATTAGTGTGGCACATGCCTTTAATCTCAACACTGAGGAGGCAGAGGCAGCCTGGTTTACATACTGAGTTCCAGGACAGTCAGGGCTACACAGAAACACTGTCTCAAATACCAAAAACAAAAAAAGAATTTAGAGCAGCTCATAGGTCTAACTTGAGGCCTCTGTGGGTACACAAGTGGTACAAAGACAAACAGACAAAACACCAAATAAAAAGAATCCCCATAGCACGGTGGTAGAGCATATGGGCAGGCCTCTAAGCACTCACCATTCCAAAGGCATATCATCCCAGGCATGGGCCCTGCCTTGTGGATGGTGTGGCCATATCTCCCTGCCCACCTGAACACTGGAAGGAAAAGGAGAGGCTCTAGAGGCTACCTAGAGGATCAAAAGGTCAAGGCCTAGTCTTTGTTTTGACATCCAGGTAGTGGTCTGGGACCAGAGAAACAAGCAAAGGATTCCCCACAAGACTGGACTCCCAAGTCAGGAGAGGGGAAGGAGACCAGTCCAGGTAACCTCAAAGATAGCACAGACATGATGTTGACAGTCTTACAAGTTAGACAGACCTGCTGGTGGGTCTGCAAAGATCTTTATTGACCCCTTCCTTCAAGGGTGAGGGGACCGGGCCACGGCCAGGCACCTCAGTTTGAATTCAGCATCACAGCTGCCCACAGCCAGGAGAGGAGGAGGGTGAGCTCAGGCAGTCACTTCTCTAGCGGAGCGTAGTTTAGCAGTTTTTCAATCAGGTCCACGTGTGCTAGCAGCATGCGGCGGCAGCAGTAGCGCTTCAGGCCCAGAGCGTCCAGGGCATCCCTGTAAGGAGAGAGGAATGAGGCTGGATGTGGTTCCTACAGCCAGTATAGGTCTGCGGCCACCTCCAACTTGCCTCTGTGCACTACTGTGGACAGGGGTTACCAGACACATCTACATAAATGGGGACCGAACCCTGACAGCAGACCATAGGGAGAGGGCCTAGGCATTTCTGAAATAAGCACCTGGATGCTTAGGGGAGGCTGGTGAGTCCCTTTGCTTACATAAAAGTACACTTGATTCCCCAGGTTACACCTATCCCATATATATGCCCACAGGCCTTCTGCCCATACTTGCTTAAGTTTCATTTTATGTGTCATGGGTGTTTTGCCATGTATGCCTGGTGCCTGTCGAAGCCCAAAGGAGTTATAGACATTTGTGAGCCACCACGAGGATTCTAGGAATTGAATTTGGGTCCTCAAGAACAGCTAGTGCTCTTAACAGTGGAGCCATCTCTCTAGCCCCCTACTTCTGCTTCTGGCTCTTTTATCCAGGGCTGGGGTAGCTTTATGGGCTTCTAAAATTATTTGGGGGAATCTTAGGAGGCTAATACCCCCTTGTCATGGAGCTGAATTCCAGGCCCCATGGGTGGACGCTGAGCGAACAATGTGATTGGCTGTTGTCTCCCTCCTTGGCCTGTACCCCACATCCAGGAGAGTTCGCAAACCAGCTAGGTTCAATTTCTCTGGCACCCAGTCAGCTTGAGAAGTTCCTGCCCAGGTAAAGAGGGTCTCAGCTACTCACCCACAATCCTCATTATAGCTGCCCATTCAGCCCCACTGACTTATGGCTTGTGAGAGGGAACCCCTTGGTGTTGCCGTGGTGGCCAGAGGTTTGACTACTACGGGGAACAGTCATGGTAGTGACTGCAGGGGGAAGGGACAGCATGAGCAGATGCCCACAAGGCTGGAATACCAGAGTTTGTCTTGCATTAAAAAAAAATTATTATTATTATTTTGGTTTATCGAGACAAGGTTTCTCTGTGTTAACAGCCCTGGCTGTCCCAGAATTCACTCTGTAGACCAGGCTGACCTCGAACTCCGAGATCTGCCTGCCTCTGCCTCCCGGGTGCTGGGATTAAAGGCGTGTGCCACCACCGTCTTTGTCCTGCATTTTAAAGGGTCCACGGGGTTCTAACTAGTAGAAGCAGGCCTGAAAGCAGACAGGTCGGGGAGTAGGTGGACAGGGAAGAGGCCGGAGTGCTCTGTTGTGGATAAAGAGGTGCCTGTCACCCATGGGAAGGATGCTCAGAAGTTTCCAGGACAGCAGTTTGAATCCACCTTCCCAACTTCAGAGAGGCTGGGCGTGGTAGCTCACGCCTTTAATCCCAGCACTCGGGAGGCAGAGGCAGGCGGATCTCTGGGAGTTCGAGGCCAGCCTGGTCTACAAGAGCTAGTTCCGGGACAGGCAGCAAAGCTACAGAGAAACCCTGTCTTGAAAAACCAAAAAAAAAAAACCAAAAAAAAAAACCAACCAAACAACCAAAAAAAAAACCAAAACCAAAACAAAAAGTGTTCCAGGCCAGTCAGGGCTACACAGTGAGACCCTGCCTCGAGAAAACTAAAGGGAGACTCATTCTTCTGGGAATACATCACAGGACTGGGCTGGAGGATAACCAGGGTTTAAAATTCCCAACGCAGAGTTCCCTACTCTCGCTGCCGCAGACCCTCCTCCTCACCCGATCTCTCAATCCCTGGCTTGCTTCTGCAGACTGGATTCCAGTCAATTCTCTACCCCAAAGTTTCATCTATCCCTGGCCCAGGATATCTTAGTCTTATCTCCGGGTCCGCCGCAGAACTCTTACCCCGACCTCCCCCGCAGGCCCGCCGCCTCACCCCTCGGTGTACTCGGCCTGCAGCAGACCCAGGTAGGCTTCCCATTTGTTGCCGACGATCTTCCCGCAGGTGAAACAGCGCACCGGAATGATCATGGCGGCGTCTGGCGCGCAGGCTGCCGGCAGCGGTATTTCAAGGCCCGCCCAGGCGCGTCCACAGCACGGGGCCCAGTTCGCCCGAGCTCCGCCCCGCGCGATCCTGAGCCCCGCCCCGCATCTTCCCGAACCCTGCCGCGGCCCCGCCCCCGCTCCCGCGACGTCCCTGCGGCGGCAGCGTTCTCTACTCGCGCCCACCCCGGGCTCCTAGAGCCTGTGTGCCCGCGGCAGCATCCCGGGAGCCCCCTCCCGCCGTGGTGGTACATCCCGGCACTACGGTGTCCGAGCGAGGCCGAAAGGACTGCGGCCCCGGCGGTTCGCGTTTCTCGTGTCTGCTTGACTGACAGCAGCTTCGCGGAGCGGCGGCGCGCGCAGGTACGGCGGGTCCGCGGGCTGGGGTCCCGTCGGCCTGATCGCACCCAGACTCGAGTTAAGAAATGGCAACAAGTGGTGGTGGCGCAGCTAGGACGCGGACTGCCGAGAGTGCACGGCCAAGGCGGTCTTCCCGCCTCCTGGCCCGGACTCTGAGGGGTCTCGGTCTGGAGCCCTTACCCGAGGTGCTCAGCCAGAGTCCGAGCCGTGGAGCTTGGGGCGTCCCCTCCCTTCCGCCGCTACAGAACCGTCAGCCGTACGGCGCCCCGGGTCCCTACGGTGTCCTCCAGCGCTGAGCAGTCCACTTCTTCCCTGAGAAGGGAATAGAAAAGGCTTTTCCCGCGGAGAGGATCAGGGTGGTGGTCCGGGAAAGCGTCGTGTAGGAGGCACCCTATGAGCAGGCTTTCTAACTTCTTTCTCCCGGGGAAACTTGGCTCGGACGCGGAGGTTGCCTGGGGGACCGCTAGGGGCCACAGGTCTGCCTCACCTGGAGTTGACCTAAGTAAGGACTTAAGGGAATGGACGAGTGCTGGTGTCTTGGGGACTGTATCACCCTGACCGCAGCGCATTCTTGTTGTGCCGGGGGCTGCCCTTGGAAGGACGAGGCAGCACGCAGTGAGAAGCTGGAAAGGTCCGTGGAGCTTGGGAAGTTTGGGGTCTCGTTAGAGTGACACCTCTAGTTCCCCTGAGGGAACAAAAGCTGTGCTCTCCTTCATTGCAGGGGAGGACAAGAAGGGTCTCCTGGGTCTTGAGTGTGGCTGGTCAGAGCCACTGCCCAACTTGGTGGCTATGCCTCCACTGCCACCCTGGACAGTCCCTCTAGCAACGTTTGACATCCCCCATGAAGCCACGTGCAGAGCCACGAGCTAGGCGACTTCCCGGTCCGGTCCAGTCCCCTCCCCCAACATCCTGCCCTGGCCAGAGGGGCAGTGGGGGCCTGTGAGTCACGGGGATCAGGCTCAGGATCAGAACTGAAGACTGCCCGCGGCCAGAGGTGAGGGTGGCAGGGGAGTGGGTTAGGAGATGGTCTGTAGGGTGGGCCCTAAGGATGGGGTGGAGGCCAAAGACTTCTTGAAGGAGGGGCCCAGTTCGGTTCTGCCCCTGGAAGACTTGTTTACTTAGGGAGAGTTGGAGAGGGAAGCCTGTGCCAAGCTGACA